CTGTAAAAACTGAGACCAGCCTTGTACAAAAGCTTATAACACTTTAAGTACCAAACCAGAAAATACTACAAAGCAAAAACAGCTCTTTGAGAAAGAGCCATAAGACTTTTACTCAATAGATGTCTTTCTCTACACCTGAAACACTGATGTGTATAATGCACTCGACTGCGCTTGACATGTAAGTTTTATTAGATATTCTTGAGCTAGTTTCACTCCTACCTTTCTCACACAACTTTCCTGATAATATGAAGAAATTGGTGAATTGATCATTTCGAAAAGGTCATCTAACTGGGATTTTTATGTGGAGATCAGCAGATCATATATATGAAAGGAAGCTATGTAGGAGATATGTAGTTTATATTGCAGTTACAAAACCTTATGTCCTAGGGTAATGGTAACTGTCTATAGGCCTCTAAACACACAGATTTCAGAAAAGTACCACAATGTTAAAACCTTGATCTGAGTTGCCTGACATACATTACAAAGTATTTAGGTACTTGTCCCTATTAGTTAATATACTGAAAGACTTCTCTTTGTGCTTTTCAGAAAGGGAGGTTCCCATCCTGCAGCAGAAAATATTACTCATTTCCGCTCTAGATACCTGGGTTGTTTATATCTGTTGGATCTTCCCTTTGGGAGGTTTACTTCTTCTTTTAAGAAAAATGCAAGTGGCCTGATTACTTTATATTTTGTTTTAGTTTTTTTCTGCTATTTGATGTAAAAAACCCCCATGAGGTTATCTGATGAGATCCCATGGGGCTTTGTAATTTGTCTTTAAAAGACTAACAAACCATAGTCTTTTGCCATTATAATAAACAGGCATTGAAGTAAGTAAAAGGAAAGCCTTGCTAGTTTTTCAGGACCTTCCTAGACATAATAGAAATAAAGGACTAGGGTTTTGGGTTTCTTAGTCACTTTTAAATGCTCAAGGAGAAAGATAAGTGATTCATAGGCAAAAGCGTAGAAGTGGACTGTTTCGGTTTGTTTACCTGCTTTATTTTGACCACTCTAGTTTAAGCCATATGCTGCATAGTCATTTTACGAGACTATAAAATTGTCCTCAGTTTACATCCATGTAATTTTTTCTTCCTGTAATATTTAGGTGGGATTTAGATGTATTTTACTCAGTTTTTAGCACATTTTGGGCTGAAATTCTCTCTTATATATTTCATTTTCATTTACAAATATCACTAACATCTTTCTACTATTTTGGCAAAAATAAATAGAAATAGAAAGGTTTAGAAATGTCAGCAAATTCTATTCAATTAAGGAACATTTTATATATAAAATAAGGAAAGAATTCCGAATTAACAGAATACTAGAAAATCTGCTGCATGCAGAGACAGACACACAACTGAAAAATATTTATCTCTACAGCCTCAGAGATCACTCAAATTTGCTCCATTCATTGCTTGGAAGTACAAACACTGGACCTCATATCAGAAAAGAGCACTTGAAGTAGAAGACTGAAAGAATTTTGCTGGAAATTATATGAACAGCATGGTCTCACTTCATAATTACAGTGAAATATTCATATATATGTATATATATATGTTAAAGCACTTCAAAACCTAAGGAGTGCAATTTTTTAGCTTGTTAAGATACGGGTTCTGAAGCATGATTACACAACTACTGATGTTGTATAATTTAATTAATAGCAATTATAATAATTATAATTAATTGTAACTGGTCAACATTTTTTATGAGAAATGCAGTGGTTCACTTTGAAAAATCACCTTTTCAATTTTGTGTCAAAATTAGGAATACTTTAGCACTTCTAATTTCATTTTCAAATGGACCATTTTTTTGATAATAGACTTATTTCTAGTTTATTTCCTTCATTTCTTTCTCTAATTCTCTTTCTTCACATTTATTTTAACTACAAGACTTTTCAAAATTATCAATCTGAAAGTCATCTCTATATAATTATTTTTATTATATTTCCTTGGAACAAGCAGTATGCCATGGAGATATAAATAAAAAAAAATCTTTAAATTATTACCTATACTTTAAAATGTTATCATATATATTCATTTTAATTTATTTTTTTCTTCACTACATTATTGCATAATAATAATTGCAATAACAACTTTACCTTTTACTTGCAAATAAAGAACATAATTATTCTCCCTTACAGCTAAACTCTCCTGCTGGCAATTCAGAAATAAAGAAATGGGTGAAGATGTTTACTGATGCAACATTTTTTAATTGACTTTGGAAAATGCTTTGATTATATCAAAGGAATAATAAAGTTGAAAAGAAGAATTTTCTGTCTATTAGTATATATTACATTTCTAGGAATGTTTTACTCCTAATATTTTTAGAGATGTATATTGATTTTTTTTTAGAAGGAACATATTTTATCATTATAATCAGGGATACGCTTCTAAACATACCAACATTTAGAAAATACTCAGTGTCTACAAATCTTGAAACCTGAAGCCATTTAAAACAGTAAAACAAATTAATTTAAAAATGTACCCGCTTCCAGACACTATAACTTGGAATTTTTTCAAAGACATAGATTATTTGTTAGTCAAATTTTAATGGAGTTTTGTATTAGTCAGATTGGTCAAGAAATCTTCAAAGGAGATGCTGAACTTTTGTGATTTGACTGGACAGAACAGAATCAGTTAAAAAATAAATTTCAGTTTTCTCATTTTTATTTCTCCAGAAAAAGACGTGGTTTGTTTTTTGAAAGGAAGTTCAGCATCCTGTTTTCTGGTATTCTAAGTCTGGCTTTTTTTAAATCACTCTTACTAAAATTAAAGACTTTTTTATAAAGACTGAATTAAAAACCATATTTTATTTTGTTAAAGCGATTTGCATTTAATTTGCTAGAATTGTCTTGCTAATATTGCTTGCAACTGTATGAACTACATCCATAGAGTAATCTGTCTGAAAATATTTTAATTTAGGAAAATGTTAGTTTTCCTTTTGACATCTAAACGTGCCTGTGTCTGAATGGGAACGCTTCAAAGCATGGAGGGACATTTATAGCGCGTGAAGGGACTCCATTTTATTGACTTGTTCGTTCATACCCAGTTTTAAACATTGTTTGATGTGCTTTCCCCACATGGCTGTATTAACCCTATTTGCTTGCATAGCCCAGGACTTGCCCGGACTTGCCCAGAGCTGTTTTCTCTCCAAAAGTTGTTTACTCCCTCACCTTCCTGCTCATCCTGCACTGATTGGCTGAGGAGTTCCACAGTGCGGGGTGAGTCCCCATTGGTCCCTAATGCCCGACTCCTCCCAAGTTCCTCCTCCTTTCCTAAGTTCTCCTATCCTATTGTGCCCTGAGATGTCAATCCCATGCTCCTCCCCTGTTACCAAGCCCTTCTGAAACAGACCCTATATAAGTCCCTGATCTACCTCAATAAATTGCCATTGAACCCCAATATTCTACCTTGTCAGACTCCTTTGTGCAGTGTTGCGGTCCTATTCCCCTACCCACCCGACAGTGGCATAAACGTGTTGTCCAGACTTTGCTTATGATCTCATGTTTACAACTTAACAACTTTAAGATAATAAAACAGCATTTTCCCTTCTTGGCTTGCTTCCTCCCATTAAAACTTTATCTCTGACCATCCAGTGATTTTGACAGATTATCAGAATACAACACTTTGTGGTAAAGAACAGCTCCAGAACAAAAAGACATTCGCTGATTGAGTACGGTATCAATTTCTCAGTAGGCCTGAAAGCAGCATAGGTCCAATACTGAAGGTTTTACACCAAATGTCTCTTAGAGTGCCCTGCGAATGCGACTCAAAGTATAGTATATTCCCACAAAACGCATCAAAGGAAAGGAAAAATGAAACTCATTAATTGAGGTAATAAAGATTTATGTTCAAGCAGTGAGGTGATGAAAATTAATACAACTGTGCTGAATGGAACGGAACTGAGACAATTGAAATGAATTGAAGATATACCTCAAGTGATTTCACTGGCTTTAGGAGATTGCTTTTAAATTTGGGAAAAGGAAAAATGAAAGATTCTCCCAGGAGCCAGCACAGATGATCTACTCCCAGTATTTCATACCTTCAACCCATTGCATCTTCCTTTTGTGTGTGCAGTGAAACAAGACTCATTTTCCTGGATAGATAAGTTGTATTTCTTTAGGGACTGGGGTTAGTCTTCAGTCTAAATTTCCAAATCCTAAACTCACCAAACCAAAGGCAAAATTCCTGGCGTGCTCATATTTTCTTTTATAACCGCAGGATTATAGTAACTTTATTTTTTCCACTCAAACACACTTTACGGTGTCTTTAAGAAATAGAAATAAGGATTAGCAGCAAGCATTGTAATGTAGCATCGTACCACTTGGGAATCAATATTACTTACATTGCACTAATTTTGCTGTTGAATAACAGCATGACAGGTTCTTGATTTAGCAAAGGCTTTGCTGCTAGTCATTCACTCAATATCAAGCAGTTAACAGAGACTGTTCTTTTTACTCAAGCCGTGTCATTGAGTCACTGGCATTTGAACATGTTGTTATTGGGGCAAAGCAAAACAATACAAAAATTGGACAGAAAAATGTTTCAATTTTAAAGCTGACCAAGAGAGACAATTTATGTCTCTCTCCATGTGAGAGAGACATAAATTGTATATTAACCCTATCTAATTTTTTTAACAATAAAAAGCAACTTTCCAAGCACTACAGACACATTTGAGGCTTAAATAAAGGATACCTCATCTTCTATGTGGTTTCTTTTCTAAAGCCAAGTTACTTGAAGCAACAAAATCATCTAGGATGTTTCTCTATTGCTGCTTAAATATTTTATAGTAATTTACTAAGAGTGTTAATGTTTAAGTTCGATGTATTCAAAAGAAGTACTGCTGCTGAAATCAGGTCTGAATAAATGGTGCAGTAGGAGGGGCTTAGTATTTGAAAAAGGAATGGATAAAGGATTCATTTCATTGAAATTCAATGTGCAGTATCCAGTTGTTATTACTATAATTGAAAAAAAAAATCAAGAACAAAGAATTTTTTAACTTACTCTTCTCCAAGGCACATCCTGTTGTTTTGTCTCAGGATAGAGATCTAAAAAAGATTCAGAAGCATTTGATGTTACTGGTAGTCACAGACATTGTCAAATACCGTGGTTTTCTTTATACACATATTTACATTTGTTGATAGGAATAGTCAGAAACAATTACAACTTTGCAACACCCCATACATAACTGAAAAGAACAATTAGCAATGAAAATATAAATGGACTTCTGCAGTTTCATTTTTCCCTCTTATTAAATATATCTAATATTTCTGAATTTTCTTACTGGTCTTATTATCATAGAGTAGTTTGAGTTGGAAGACGATTCAAAGATCATGTAGTTTCAACTCTCCCACTAGAAGTGTCAGGGACACTTGCCACTAGAGCAGGTTGTTAAAGTCCCATCCAGCTTGGCCTTGAACACTTCCAGGGATGGGACAGCCACAACTTCTCTGGGCAACCAGTTCCAGTGCCGCACCGCCACTTCAGTAAAGAATTTCATTTCAGATCATATCAGAGAGCATTTTTAATTGTAATTTTCATAATTGAATGTTTAAAAGATCTCATAAATTAAAGTCTAAAATTATGCAGAATTCAATATTTTTACTGCAGGTCACCATTTCGAAATACATGCCTTTGTAGTTCTTGAAATGTATTTTCAGGCTTGAATCACTTTGCAGATTTTAATGACAATAAAGAACTAATTAAAAAAAAAACTACATAATACAAAGCACTTAAATTCATCATTTTCAAGACTGCATAAAACATGATACTAAATATTATAAATTGTCTAAGGGTTTGTGGTTTTTTATTATTTATTTTTGGAAAAGTAGGACTCAGAAAATAGTTATTAGATAATAATAACCACGGTAGGTTATGAACATTAACTTCAGTTTTCCTCTGTCTGAATCCTTGATACTGTTGCAACACAAACATCATATGTAGAATTTCAATATTCCATTGCATAATTCTAAAATATTCAAAATAAGGGATAAAAGCTTAATCAGACTGTTTTGAGAACTGGAGCTTTATTCACAAGGGATTTGGCTACATGTGATATCTAAACTAACATTTCTAATGTGCATATCTTAAGATATTCATTCATTGAAGAGGGAAATATTCAAAAGCTCTATTCCTCAATTTTTCTCACCCATTTTTCTGTGAGTGTGGATATATATGCTCGGCTAGCATTAAAACTATACAGGCAATGTTCACGTAAGTATTCAAAGCTTCTGCTCATAAAAACAGTTACAGTGGTTACAAGTGTGAAGGGCTGTAAGGTTAAGAATAGCAACAGATTTTATTAGGAGGCTGAAGTCTACCATATCAATGTGTAAAGATCTTGGGCTTAGTCCTGCAATAACTGGAAGTGCTGAATCTTAACTGTCCAAATAGGAAATGATTGAGTAGTTCCAGGAAGGACATTTCACTTTATGGGGACAAAGGAAGAAACTATTCTTAAGCAATTTGACTGAAAAGTAATGAATACCTGAAACTGATCTTGGATCAATATTTTTCAAGTATATTATTGGGAATATGAACACCCAAGCAGAAACCAGATAAAAGTAAAAATTTCAGGATTTACATTAGAAATGACACATTCACAACATGACTGACCATACAGCTTACTACTGCTCTACACATGTAGTTCCTCTGCCAAAAAAAAACCTAAAAAACCCAAAAAAGCCAAGCAAGAAAGCAAATAAGTAAACAAAAAAATCACCAGATCTAAGCAAGGGCTCAGAATGCATAAAATTATTTCTGCCTGTGTTTACATTAGTTAGGCTTTGAAGTCACCTAAAAAGTGACCTTAATGTAAATTGTTAATTTGCTCCTTTTGAACCTAATGGAATAATCTAAACACTGTAAAAACCTCCCACAGCTCACCTTTAAGAGCAGTGACTGATATTGTCAGATTTGTTGAAATGTTTTAAGCATGGTTTACAATCAATACCTATAAGGAGCACATGAGAAAGAATACATCATATTCTGCAAGAATTCTTTGACTTTAGGGGAAGGTCATGTCTTTGAAGTGAAAGGAAAGGCTGCTGAATACTTTAGATTCAGAAATGCATTTCTTTTAAGTTAAGAATCACATAGTTAAAAACACATAGGTCTATTTCAAAGTGTCTAAACCATAGCATCTTTGAAAAAACTCAGATTTGTAACAGGAAACAGTTTCTTTCACATAGCAAATACCTAACTTAGGATTTAATTCTCAGGCTAATAAATACACAACAGAGCACCAAATACGTATTCTTAAATACAGTCAAACCAGTCATGTCCTGGGATGGCATATCACCAAGGTGAAACCTTTTTGGCTGCTAAGTGACATGTTTCCTCACAAAACAGGCAATCTGTTCTGCCACCGTTTTTAATCCGTTCCTAAAAATACTAATTTTTCTATTGTATTCCTTTATCATTTAAAATAAGAGGAATTGGTCAACAGCCTTTCCAGATAACTTAGAAATTGGCTTCCAATAACAGTCCAACCTGCTATCCCACAAGCGTCAGTTTTCCTACACCTACAGCTGATATATGTTTTATTTGAAGGACTAATATTTACAAAAATTCCAAAAATAAAGGGTTAGTGTCAAGAAGACTGACAGGAGCTGAAAGTAAAGGTTATACAGTGAACCTAAACATAATCAAAGATGTGTTTTGAGCTTTTAGTGATCAGTTAAGAAAACAAACAGGTTTCTTGGGCAGTGATATTTGGTGATATTTGGCCAGTGTGAATTAATTCTTTCTCACCTTATTTACGTAAGTATCTATTGAAAACAATGTCACTTAATTTTATATGTTGCAATAATAATTTGTGAATGAAGGCTGTGTTGGGATGTCCACCCACTTAACATTTGAACAGAAAAGAATCTTACCACCCACTTCATCTGATCAAGCATTAGACTGTGAATGAGCTATTTCTTACTCCTACTTTCATGATGTCTGAAAACAGAAAAAAAGGGACATAGCAACTTTATTCTTCAGAGAACTCCAGTATTTTGAATGATCAGAGTTTTGTGGGAAGAAAAATATTTACTTTGAATAACAAACTTGTTTTGCTCTGAACTCCAAGGCTTGTTGTTTGTTCATTGTAAGTACTTGATATATTTCATGTAGAAAAGGCAAAAACTCTTCCGGACACTATATTGTTGTACTCAAGCATGGTTTTTCCTGGGTTTGTTTTGTGTATTTTCTTGATTAAGTTAATAAAGATGCCTAAGCCCCAATACTTTTGAAAAGCATTTTGGTACGATGAAGATAGGTGCAGATTTGCCAAAACACTTAGTCATCTAACTCTCATCAATGTGATTTCTAAAAGCACCTGTGTAGTTAACTGTTCAGGTACTTTTCCAAGCATGCTAATTCCTTTGAAAGTACAGTCTGCAAGCCTCATCTCAGAGTTCAAAATTAAAGAGGTGTTGCAATGACTAGAAAGATGTTAATGACATCAACAGCTATTCTGAGACTTATTATGGAGTTATCTTAATCAAGAGCATCTGATCCTTCTTTTGGGACTAGGACAGGTGGAAGACTTATAGTCTCAGCTATTGCAGTTCTGATGATGTACATGTGAATATTGCTTCCATGGATATAAAGCCAGTAAGTAAACATTAACTTTATTTATGGAATGGTATTTATCAATAAAATTGCAGCTGGAGGTCTTTAAATGAGCTCTAACTGTTGTACACTTACTTGTACCAACTGTGAAGTGTCAGTCGGTAGTATGAAATATTTACTATTTGAGACAGACAGTGACGAAATGGAAAGAAAAAAAATTACTCTCCGTCCGAATTGAACCTCTCTTGAAAATACACTCAATTACTGTCAAAAGACTTGAAGTATTTGATCTTTAATCTATGAATATTTGCCTCATATTTGTTTATTAGGAATTTCAAGCTAAGAAAATGTGCGGTAGTTTGGTTTGTTGGTTTTCTTCAAGAACCTTCTTTGCAAAGGCCAGTTAACTAGGGAATACCTAATTCTTTGCAACAGCCTGTCGGTTATAGGTAAACAGACACATGGGAAAAGCTAAAGGGTTCAGAATGGAGACAGTAAACTAAAGAGATATTTTCTTACCAAAATCATACTACAGGGAAAGAAGTAAGTGGTATCAACAGATAAAAGGCACAGCTTATAAACACCTACATAATAGAAATAAATAGAAAAGCATTCTTCAAGACATAGGCCCATAAACATATTATTAATTCACAAAAGAGGAAAAGAAAAGGAAAATATATACAAAATGCTTTTTTGGGATAGCATCCAGATAGTCTCATTGTATCACAGTTAATTTCAGATCTATGTAAAGTGACTTTACTTATATAACACAGTACACAGAAGAACAGAATTTGATTTCTTAAATACTGTCTAGCTCTATGTAGAATGTAAGAATTCATTATGAAATTAATCACTTCCAGTCACAGCATATTGATCTCAAAAATCCTCTTTATATGTTACCATTAAATGATAGTTTTTAGCTATTAATAGATCTTTGTAAGCACAGAGGAAGCGTACTCTTTCTCTTTCTGCTTAACTACCTATTATCTAACACAAATATTTAACATTCAGTCAAAGGCACTACGTCTTCAAGAAGGTTGGATAAAATACTAACTCTTCTGAAAGAGAAAACTAATGGGAAGTGTTTGCAATACTCTGGATTAAGTTCATAGGCACAAAAATGTACCTATGAGATCCATTTAGACAAAATTTGTATAATTCATACTAAGCATGAAACATAAGTTGCATTCAATATCTTTGTTTTCTGATAGTCTTGACTTTAACTCCAAAGAGTACTTTAATTCCTTGTCTTCTACTTCAGCAAGACTGACCAATTTTTACATTTTTTTTCAGGCCCATAGATGGTTATTAATATTTTTTGTAGAAATGTCTATAAATTTACTCCTGTTTTGCTATTTCAGCAGAAATTTGGACATATGTTCCTCAAATGTGACAGTACAGAGGTGAGTAAGCCCACTGGAGTTGCAGATTGGGCCCAAATCACTGAGGTTATTTACTTTTCTTGAAGTTTGTGAAGAGGTCTTTAACC